TTTCTAAGATCCGTGTATATTTAATTTTTCTTTAATCACACTAGCATACCAGAGGTAATTTGTAATATTTTTAGGAACCATCGGATGAAATTCTATTTAAAGACGGTACAGATTTTCAAGAAGATGGTGAAATGGAATATTGGTCACATAGAATAGATTATCTTAAGAAAGAACATCAAGTCATTAACAAAATAATTGAGTCTGAATATGATAAAAGCATTGAAATAACTAATAAAACATATGAACCTCCCAAAATCACTCATGAAAAAATACAAAAAATTAAACCTTGTTTTGATTGGAGAACAAAGGTAAATAAATCTTCTCTACATCTGCACTACAAAGCCGAAGAGTTTATTTGTTTGAAAGCGCTAATCACCTGAACTGCTGAATCGACTTCAGAAAACAAAATTAGTCATATTAACATAATGAACGAAAATAATAAAATAACATACAATAAGAACATAATCAATAATTCTATTTTCAGATTATGAAATGCTATGAAGAAAATTCTCATCAACCTTTGGTGTGTTCAGCGTTAGTGCAAGCTTTTACTAATTGTGTGACAAATTGCAGGTTAGAAGATTAATATTTTAGATTTTTTACATCAATTTATACATGTTTTGTCAATCCACAATAAATGATTGTTTCAATATATTTTTTTATTATTTTCTTACTGATTATTAAATTACTTTAGATAGATAGTCCAGTCCAGCGGACGGTTCGCTCGCAGACATATAGGAGGGACAGTAAGGGGCTATTGATGTATTAAATTGCTGATTGACAGTAGTCGGTAACCTATAGTTTGTGTACCGCTAGGATTATATAATTTTGTATAAATACTCAACATAAATGAATACTGAGTAAATAGAAGGTAAATTATGTTGTTATATATCCACTTTTTAAAATAATATTCCTGAATAACGGATCAATACTCTGCATTTTGTTCATTTCGCCTATCTCTTTCAATACACTGCATTGTGATTTTTAGACGAACGGGTGTATGTCATGTCGTCAAATGTCAAAGTATACGTCGTTTTTGACGTTTCTGTTTACTTCCTCGTGTGACGTGACGTGACGATCAATTTATTTTTCGTTGAATTCGAATTTGAGTGTGTGGATTTATTATGGTGTTTGTTATTAAGGATTATTAAGCGTGATAGTTCCTACAATGGCTACAAACGATTCAAAAGTTGAAGAGAAGGCAACGTGCCATACCATTTTAGATAAAATAAATTCAATAAATGATACTGTGGTTGCAAAGGTAGTCTTTCATTTATTCAATATTTTCAGGTTTCAACATTTTCTCATCTAAAGAACAAATATAATTATTTTGTTTTTATTAGGCACCAGATATTAATGACTTCACGATAATAAAGCCGATAAGCAGAGGAGCTTTTGGGAAAGTATTTTTGGCACATAAAAAGAGTAACAAAGATCAACTGTATGCAATTAAAGTAATGAAAAAATCAGACATGATTAATAAAAATATGGTCACACAAGTTGTAACCGAGAGGAATGCATTGGCGTTGTCAAGAAGCCCTTTTTGTGTGCATTTATTTTACTCTTTGCAGTCAACATCGTCTATTTACTTGGTAAGAAACCAGTTTCATTATTTTATTACCTAATTAATTTGGAAATGTGTACCTATCACATGTAACTATAATAATCACAACCATGTAGATGAATTATAATATTTGATTGTGGCAGAAAGTTATTGTTAGTCTGTATTTCATTAATGCTATTTATTTCAGGTGATGGAGTACATGGTGGGTGGTGATTTAAAGTCCTTATTAGGTGTTTATGGGTTCTTGGAAGAATCTATGGCAGTTTTTTATATAGCAGAAGTCACCCTTGCATTGGACTACTTGCACAAACACAATATTGTACATAGAGATTTGAAACCAGACAACATGTTGATATCAAGAACAGGCCATGTGAAACTCACTGATTTTGGTTTATCTAAAATTGAAGTTAATAGAGGTATCATGTTTTTTATTTATTGTATCATTTTAACTTATACAAATGGGTTTTACATTTCGAGGGGTAACAGACTATTTGGTTTAAGCGACATTGAGTAATTATATATATTCGACAGAGAAAAATTCGCTGATTCCGAATATATATAACTCAATATCGCCCAAAATGTAGCTTAAACCAAATAGTCCGTTACCCCTCGATTTGGTACTTGTGCCTCTGCATAATAATAATGCAGGAACTCGGAAGCAATTTTTCTATATTTGTATATGTTGTGTCATTAATGTTAATTTTAAATAAGTTTCATCATTTTAAACTTTACAAACATTTTCAGACTTGGAGATCTCAGACTTTGTGAACTGCACACCAAGCCTTAATATGAGGACACCTGGTCAACTATTATCACTGACTTCTCATTTGTCCTTTGGCTCTGGAGGAGGAGACAGCACACACAACTCTGTGATGTCTACAGATGCCTGTGAGAACCTTCTTGATGAGCTTAAAGAGACTAGTACGCTTTTACCATCAATATAAAACTTCACATTCTATATGTGCTCCTAGTACATATAAACATTTTACATTTGCAGGTAAATTGAAAAGTTTATTTGATGGAGTCAGTGGATTGGAGAGTTCGCCATTACTGAATCAGTCACATATGTCGGGAATACATCCATTTATGAGTGCTGAAAGTATTGATTTGGAAACTGTAAGTTACCAAACTTTTGAAAGTTTGTGTTAATAGATTTATTTTTAACTTTTTAACTCTTTGAATGTTTATTTCATATTTTAGTCTGAGGACTCTAGTTCATACCACACATGTGAAAGTTCAAGGAACAGTTCTAACTCAAGGAGTAAGTCAACAGATCCAAGTAGCAACAGTTCAGTGGGAGAGTCCACTGTTCTATCAGATTCCCAGCATGACCAGTCCACCTCACCACTGTGTAGGGGACACTCCTTGAAGCGAATACCTAGGTAACTTACTGGTAATCTTAATTAACAAAATTAATAATTAATATACCTTTTAGGATATGCTTACTGACCATTATATTTTCCCTTGGCCTTTATACTTATAAAAACAACCAATATTTTTACAGCTTTAGAGCCAAAAAAAGGAAGAGGATATTAGATTGTGATGGTGACACCCCTACAGGTGTAACTAGCCTGCTAGAGTCTAAAGAGAATCACAGTGGACTGACACAAGAGATCATGGCACTAGAGTTGAGTCAGAACACACCTAAACGCATGTCCATACATCCCACGCCCGACAAACGTAAAAATCCTATCAAAGGTGTTTTGAAAAAACGGTAAGTACTATGTATACAATATAAGAAAAACAAAAACATATATACATAATATAAACATAACATAACATCACGCCTCTTATCCCCCGAAGGGGTAGGCAGAGGTGCACATTATGCCACTGTATAATGTAACAGCCACTTTTCACTATTTATGTTATGAGTCCTATGGTACAATTCCATACTCCGTGCTACTACTGAGATTTTTTTTAAAACCCAGTAATACTTTGCCCGACCCCGGAATCGAACCCGAGATCCCTTGCCCGGCAATCGCACTTGTGACCACTCGGCCATTTTGATGCGTAAGCAAGACACGCACTTTACCACTAACGGAACGCCTCCTATGTAATTTAGCACAAAGCTGGATAAGGGTCCGAATTCCGTGTCTACAGTCTGTATTCTGTAATGCTTGAGACCATTCCACGAAAGTGACTTTCGAGTTCAGAGTAAACTAATCCACGTAGTAAAACAAGCGCAAAGTATAGTAATAAATTTACTTTGAGTAAATAATATTACTTTTATTTTACAGGTGGGTCTCACAAAACGACAGCCACCATTTCAATGTGGGAGTCATATTTTCAACACCAGTAAATGACAAATCCCCTGAAACAAAGAAGAAGGAGACTCGCTTCAACCTTCCTAAAGAGGAGCAACCATCTGAATCTAAGGAGAAAGCTTTCATGTTTGGAAAACATGTCTCGACTAGTTTAGAAATATTTCCTACTAGAAGATTAAGTAAGGTAATGCTATGTATCATTTCTACAACACTTAAATGATTTATTAAACACATGATTTATTTGTATTCCCAACAGTGTATACGAGTTTTTAATAGAATTGGTTGGGTTGATAAAGCGTTAAGAGGTAATAAATAAGCAAAGTAGTTATTTTCGCATTTAAAATATTAATGGTAGTAACAAATGTTACAATCCATTTCAACCAAATACATCTCTGCACTGTATAGGTCGACTACTAAAGAATGCGGTTTGTATAAGCCCACCTTTAGGTTTGCCTATATACATATATTGTTATAAATAAATCATTAAATGTTTCAGGGCGAAGGCAGTCGGTCGCCTACAGATGCATGTAGGACACCATTAGCTACCGCACACACGCCTTACAGGACACCCAAGAGCGTGAGGCGAGGGAACTTAGTTTCGGATCAAAGGATCTTAGGGACGCCCGACTATTTGGCTCCTGAGTTACTTTTGAGGTAAGACAAAAATAATATGGTTTATGTTAAAAAAGCTTTAAGATTTAATGACTCAAAAGATCTAAAACAGGACTTTTTACCATTTAAAAAAAGGTAACTAAAAGTCGCTGGTTATTCACATGAATATACTGAGAAAAGCTCTACCAGTTTCGAACCACAGAGGGGTTCTTCCTCATGAGCAGCGTGCGCGGTTGCGGCGATGTCGCGCAGCCTACTGTCGTTCGAAACTAGTAGAGCTTTTCTCAGTATATTCACGTGAGTATCCCGCGATTTTTAGTTCGTTTAGCCTATTATATTATTTATGCCTCACGATAGTTATTAAAAAAAGTGCTTCCGAATATGACTTTTGTAATACGGAGTATATTTTTGCAAGCCAGTAAATCTTTCCTTATTATGAGTTACATTTTTTCAGACAGGGCCACGGTCCTCCAGTGGATTGGTGGGCGTTGGGAGTATGTCTGTACGAGTTTATGACTGGCGTTCCACCATTCAACGACGAAACACCACAGGCTGTTTTCAAAAATATATTGTCACGAAGTAAGTGATTGGTACTTTACTTAATGAACTAGAAAAAAAAATATTTCTACATGTGATATGTGGTAACATGAAATTATTGACATTGTAAAAGGCTACTTTCTAGATTGCTGTTAAATAGAAATATCCTTATGAAAATGAATCGCGTTGGACCGATTTCACTAATTCTTTTTTTATTGTATTTGTTATTATTAAAAGAAGGTTCTTATGTAAGAAAAAAAAGAGATATTTCTTGATTATAGGGTACAAAGTCCACCAGGTCAGCTAGTAATGAATAAATGTAACTAATATTACAGATATCGAATGGCCTGAAGACGATGAGGCCTTGTCTGCCGAAGCAGTGAGCGCCATCGAAGCTCTGCTCACGATGGAGCCGGCAGCGCGCCCGGCCGCGGCCGCTGTACGCGCCATGCCGATATTCAGGAACATTGATTGGGACAACCAGCTCAATGTAGAACCACCCTTCATACCTACCCTGGATGATGTTCACGATACTGGCTATTTCCAAGGTAGGTAGCATTTATTTAAATTTGGGATATTGTGCAGTACACTTGTAGGAAGCATTTTATGTATATTCTTTGTCGTTATGAACGTTTTTAATATAAAAACAAAAATATATTCGACTAATGCAGTAGGGATATATTTTGATTATGTGGTTGGTAGGTTATAACCTTTTTCAGAGTTATATAATAGTTTTGGTTAGATAGATTTAGAAATGACCTATCAGAATACCAAAGAAATATGGTCATTCTTGAATTATATCTTGATATTGTTATAGTAAAATATTATAGTAGCTCTATTTTCTGTACAAATTATTTTGTTTCAGCTCGCAATATCCTGCAACAACTACACGTTTCTAACTTTGACATGTAATATTAAGGTTTGTAAATAATTTATATAAATTACTATTAAATGAATTAGCCGATTAACGGATATAATGTGATATTTAATGTGTATACCAATATTTAACATTGTGATTATTGCTTCCCCTTACAATTATGTACTACTAACCAAAACCATATATTTAAAGACTGATTTGAAAGCTGTAGCCATCTCATTATGTGCTTTAAGTTATTTGATTTTAATGTGATTATTATATTCAGTGTTTATCATGTAATTAATATTCCAACAATAAAAAACAATATATTCGAAATATGGTAATTTTTATTTAATTTAGAATCTTAAATTAAATTGGCACAATTTCCATAAATTGAAATTTTGTTGCAACTAATTAAGAAAAGCAAGGTCGTTTGGTTGTTTTTCTCAAAGTAGTTGTCCTTAAAAATATTATTCATGGAATAAATTGAGAAATTTTTAATTTTGCGACGCTGACTGTACTTCGGGTATTACACAATTTATTGAGCGTTTTTCTGAATCCAAGGTAAGAAGTAGGTGACACGTGTGTACACTCCGGGATATTGGCCTTTGCCGCACCCAATACCCCAGGACACGATACCGACTTGGGTCCAACGGCCATTTTCATTTACCATCAGAGGGCCACCACTGTCACCCTGTAAAAAAACGAAATAAGAAGACCTCATTGGAATAGCGAAAATCTCATTAAAGAAGAGCAGATCACATAAATTTTAAGTGTGGAAGAGCCAAGCTTCAGCACGAATGGGCCGGCTCGACCGGATTGATACCACGGCCTCACAGAATATCGACGTGAAGCAACGCTTGCGTTGTGAATCCAACCCCCCCCAATCCCCTTAATCCCTGAATTCCCAACAATCCTCAAGCTCCTAATCCCCAAAAGGCCGATGACGCACTTGTAACGCCTCTGGTGTTCCAGGTGTCCATGGGCGACGCCGATGACCTACCATCAGGTGATCCATCTGCTCGTTTACCGGCTTATCCCATAATTGCTTTTAAAACGAGAACTTACACTGCAAGAGTCCATGCTAGCTTTCCCAGCACAAAGCATGTGCTCCACGATGCCACCAGGAGCAGCTCCACCGTACTTCAACTTGCACTCCTGGTTAGACCAAACTGGAATCGACACTTCTTGCAGAACAGAAGGCTGAGGTCCACCTTTATAAAAAAATTAGGTAGGTACTGTTAGTCACCAAACCTGATACATGCGAAAGTATATGTAAACAATAACCTGAATTATTTTCGTTTGGTCGCAAATGTATGCTAATATCTTTTGTTACAAAAAACGTGGTGGGTGATTCATACTCTTTGTCTAAATATTTCACTTTGGAAATGATATTTTTATCACTATTGTTCTGAACAAAATAAAAAGAAATCCATTCACAGTCTCTTTAGTTGTACAGAAATATAGTCTTTATGTAACATTTTATAAAGTCTAAATTATGCTTACTTTCTCGCAAACTTCCCCAACCGATGACTGTAGCGATTTTGCCCTGGTATGTGGATCTGCCACCAACCGGCAAACAAATGGGACGGACGTACTTGCTAAAGGCAACGGGCTGGTCAATTGTCAATACGGCGACATCATTGTACTGGAAATGGAAAGCAGAATGTATTAGAATCTAGAAAAAAAAGTTGTTTCCTCATAATCAAGGTCTATATGGCTGGAACTCTATGTGCTGAATTTACTGAGAATGCTTGATTATAATTTTTATGGAAAAATTGATTGAGATCAGGCAGGCAAGACATTTCATTTTATCATGATATTCATAACTGTCGAGATTTGCGAAACTCCGATGATAAATGAGATTGAGTATGGTTAGCATTATAATTAATTTTCCTTTGTGCTTACCAGAGTACGCATATCAAATCCGCGATGTCTCACCACCCTCTTGATTTTCCTTTCAATGTGTTGAGTTTCGGTGTTGGTGCGGATGTTATGATCTCCAAGTCTGGCCGTAAGCCGAGCCACATCCCAGGATGTCATACTGAAAATTGACAATCATTTAATGATGACAATACAATAGCTTCAGAAACTTATTTGAGTAAGTCGAATTTTTTATTCAATAAGTATAGGTAGTTGCCAGTTTATTTGTATTAAGTCAAGCAATAAAATGTCTTCCTATTTGGCTTTCAGTGACTTTTATGGAATATATTCATAAAGACTTTCAATTTCAAGACTTTGTTTACTTACTGTGCCACACAATGGGCTGCAGAAAGCACATGTTTGTCGTCTATGAGGGAGCCGCCGCAGAACTGTCGCCCAGCGTTGAAGAGGGCCACAATCCACGGCCACTCATTTAGGTCAGCGTTGTGCCCACCCACTATACGTTCCTCGTCTTGATAATTGCTGTCGTAGGTCTGTATTTTGTTAAAAATATGACATATCAATTTATCAATATAATTTTTAGTAGTACAGTCTTTTAATATAGTCCCTACACTACGTAGGTATGTATATAGAATACCATGTCGTGAGAAGTATCACAGATATTGTACGAACATTCTTCATTCACATCACCTAGAAGAGATCTTTAGTATTTATAAAGCCTAATATCATTTATATCGAAAAAAAAAAACAGTATGTAATGAACCTTTCCGGGATAATTAGACTCACACTTAGCCATATTTATTGTTTGAATTCAGAAACTGAGGTAATGCCTACTTCTTGTCAATAAGTCTGACATTAATCGGTTCTTAGCCTGCATACATACCTTCACGTTTGTAAAAAGAGTTCTTTTAAAATGTTAGTCGTCATTCATACCTGAGCTCCGTTCTTAATTCCACAGGATCCATCCACAGCAGGCTGAGAAGGCACTGGCTGTGCTGGCACACTCGGCTTAGTGGGGTATGCTGGGGCCCACGTCTGAGACATTCGTAAATAATATTGTGTTATTAATTGCTTGCTTACACTAGTCATGCTGCTAGTGTTAAGTTTCACAAGGCCTCAGGTCAAGTAAAAATAAAATGTAGCCAGTTTACCTGCTTGGTTGTGCTGGGAGGCCTAGTAGGCCAGGTTGTAGGTGCAGCAGGGAAGTTACTTGGTGGCTTTGTTACACCTGCAACTGTTGACAAGCTTTTAGCATCAGTATGTACATCTACATCAATTAATAATCAAGGTAAAAATTAAAACTATTTCTAAGCTCATGCCATTGTCACATACAGTTCTCCAAAGAAGTGACGGTGATCTTACCCGCAAAAGCTATCCTGAACACCTTACTAAACAGTTTTTTTAACTATTAGGTACCTACTTATTTGGACAAGTGATGGGTTACCTAGAGAAGGTGGATGCGTAGGCGCAGTGTGGTCGGGCGGGTGGGTAGGCAGAGGAGGGATCGTCGGTGGCCATTGTGCGGGAATCTGACGGAAGTCGCCGTCGTTGCCGTATGACCATCTTGTCAGTGCTGCAAATCTGTTAATCGTACATGACATTCAGGTTAGTAATTTTAAGTAAATTTTAATACTTAATTTGATAACTTAATTTTATTATTTTTATTGTATTGTAATTAGTATCCCTGCATCCATGGCGTTACAGCTTGTCAAAAATTTGACAACTGGTACAATCGCTAATGTGATAAGGGCCTATCATTAGTCAATTGTGAACGACAAATGGTAGAATCGATTCATGTAAAATACTGGCATTAAATCAAAAGTCGTTGTTAATACTTCGTATCGACTTCAAAATTTTTAGAAAACGATAAAGAAATATGAATTAAAAAACAATTTGCAATGTTTTAGTTGTTTTTCTATTCAAAGAACGGCCTTTATTCAGTGTATGACTTTTGGTATACAGGTAAACGTACCCTGGCAGAAACTGTAGTGGGACAGCAGGCTGTATGTACCCGAACCTCTGCACATCAGGGGCCTCTTGCGGGGGCGTGTCCACCGGGTCCGTGCAGCACACTCCGTACACCTGACAAATTGCACATCTACTGTTACCAGAATTCAATGTAAGGTAAGCTAAATATACTTTCTACTTGATTTGATACACTAGAAAGACTATGTTTTTATAATAACTATCGTGAGACATACTAAATTAACTAAAAATCGCAGTTTAACTCGTCGAGTACCGGTTTTGTAGACACAATTATAAAACAATAGGTTGCGGTCACCGGTGACCGCTTGGTGTTTGACAGTTTAATAGTTCGATGTCAGTGAACTTAGCTGATCATTGTCCAGCAGATCAAAAATAAATGAGAGTTCTCATTGCATGCAGCTAAGTTCTATAGTTCCTGACACCTTTTAGAAATAGTTCCGGCGTTTTTACCTTAAAAAAAGACAATTAAA